GGGGCGATTTAATGGCCTTGCTTGAAGAACTGCAAGACAATGTTTGATTACAGAGCAATAGTTTACAGCATCACTCAACCAAAAGTGCATAGCCTTCCCTAATAAAACATCCTCCCAAAATGTGCAGTTGAGCCCCTGTCGCTACTAATGCAACGCTATTTCTGGACCTCTTAAGTTTCTCAAGTAACCTCTCAAGTAACATGGTGATAGAAGTCCTGTTTAGTTGAAGAGACTACAAAGAGACCACTGCTATTCTGCCCCTGGCAAAAAAAAAAAAAAAACTTGGAGTCAGGGGCACAAAATAGCACAGAAACAAAACCTCTGAACTGAACAAATGACTGCCTAAACAAAAACACACTTTTGTATTTATTTTCCCCTGGTCAGCACTCTGCTTGATGTTTTGCCAGTTCCATGCCTTCGCATCACTGCACGGCAATTGTCGGAGGCACAAAGCAGGGGGAATGGAAGATGGAGAGAGTGACTGAAATGAGGGGTGAATGAAAAAGACTGAATGTGCGCAGGAGGTACAAAGCTAGATGGGGAGAAAAAATTCTGTGTACCGTACTTCTCGTTGCCTTCATGGGAAATGCATGTGACCACATTCTTTTAATAAAACACGCAAAAGAAAGCAATCGCACTTTGTTCTTTCATTACAATTTCATACATCCGGATGCATAATTTAGCCCCGAATGACAGGAGTACTGGTCTGAAAGCCACTTCTAAATATTTCATTCTTTTACAAGAAAACGGAGCTAAGTCTAACCACTGTGAGGATGAGACTTCCCCGTGGCCATTTTTACAGCCTGACATTTTACACTTCATAACTTGTGTGGAAGAATTGGATATGACAAATCAGCATATCCCAGTCATGTAGAATTTAAAGAAGCAATTCAAATGCAGGTCTGCCTTATTTTTGACAAAGTATAATTTATACTCAATAGATGTGTTTTAACAAGTTCAAACAGTAGCATGCACCGAACAAGCTTAGCGTGTATTAAGGTTTGTACGCAAGAGGCATTTGAGCCCCCCCCCACATCACGTTATGTGTCACAGATGGCCATATGCTCTTTGGGGTTTAAAACCACAAAGAAACCTTCTCAAGCCTGCAATGTAATTGTATTAAGGTTTGCACGCAAGAGGCATTTGAGCCCCCCACATCACGTTATGTGTCACAGATGGCCATATGCTCTTTGGGGTTTAAAACCACAAAGAAACCTTCTCAAGCCTGCAATGTAATGGGGGAGAGGGCCCATGTCAAGTGTATATACACAACAGAACAAGAGGAAGCAGTTTTCTGGTGCTGTGAAAACGTCAACAAACGTATGCAAGTAGCAGAGTGCATAACACTGCTGTTTTGCAATGAAAAGCACAAGGAGAACGGAGTTTTGCTGTTTCACCCATATGAAATTATAAATGTTGTTTGAACAAGTTCAAAATGTCTTTGCCACGTGAAAAACTGTGACCATTAAAATTGTGGGTGAATATCTGGAGAGCGTCTTTGCGACCGTTTGCGACCTTGAACGAATCCTGACAAATAAACAACACTCGCCAACCTTCGCCACTCAGTGCAAGTTACCTGTCTAGCAGAATTGTACTTAAAATAAAGAACTTTATTGACCAGATTGTGAATCATTTACCACTCAATATACTACAAAACACATTTTTTTCCCTTAAAACTATTAAACCTACAAAACTCTGACATTGAAGGTGATGCCGTTGAGAGTTTTGGTGCACTTTAGTGCCAGTGCAACCAAGAAAGAAAAAAAAAATTGGGCCTATCAGTGCAACCAGTGCAAAAAGTTAGACCAGTGCCCTGAAATGCCGGTATGCCCTTCTTGTTGGGATATTCTGAATAATAGTAATAAATAATAAAAAGAAGGATAAAATAACAAAACACTGGGAAAGAGTAAAATGATTTTTGAAATTGCAAGAGGGCATTGTGTACTACGTCAAGAGGCTCCCAAGTGCTGTCGTACAATCAAACCCTGAGGGGATTATCAGCGCATTTGATGCGTTTCTTAATAGTGTTTGTTCACATTGGAGTTCTGATCAGTTTATTTCCACTTTTGAAATTGCAAGAGGACATTGTGTACTACGTCAAGAGGCTCCCTAGTGCTGTCGTACAATCAAACTCTGAGGGGATTATCAGCGTATTTGATGCGTTTCTTAACGGTGTTTTGTTCACATTGGAGTTCTGATCAGTTTATTTCCATTTGGCAATTTAAGCCTTTGCTTCCTCTGTAACATCCATTTGGAAAAATAACTACTGACCGCGAGTACCCTCTTGAACAGATGCTGACCTGTTTTAATGCTTTTTCCTAATATAGTGTTTTTCCTATTCAAAGCATCACAATGCGGGAATAGAAAATAAAGTACATGCACTATGGGTGATTTATTTCCCTGCTCTGTGAGGGAGAAGTAAAGCAGAAAAACAATTCAATTTAAAAAAAAAAAAAAAAAAAAAAAAAAAGAGTATCCCGCTCATTCTTTACACACTGTGGTCTTACAGTTACTCTTCTAAAAACTACCAATGAGAAACAGAGCTCTGCCAGTATTTGTTAACATGCCGGTAGTCACAATACGACACACAACAAATCAAATGAACAGTACTCTGCAAAGGTTAAGTAGAGATCTTGTCAACTCTTTAGCCTGATGTTTGATGACACTTTGAACAAGCCATACTGTGTTCAGTGATCTGAAAATATTACCAGGAACTTAGTATGTGCTTGTCATCTTTTTTTCTATTTTGCAGGGATAAACAACTCTTATTCAACCATGAGCAGCAACTGATGAGGTCAGCAGCCCACTGTTTGTAGTGACCATGCAAGACATGAGCAGGCAAAGCATGTTTACAGCCCAAATCACAAGTGAAGTCAGACCACAAGCCTATGACACAAAGCAAGATATTGTGGGTTATGGCATTCACTTTTAGTCGAATTGGACAAATTTGCTTCATGTGCATGTTTTTGTACTCCTCCGGACGGCACTTGGTTTAAATAAAGGGGTTTAAGAAATGACAAGTCTGTGTACTTTCAGCCCGATGTTAAACAGAGAGTGCCACGTAGAGGAGTAAAATAAATAAATAATCATTTTAAAAAATCAACTGCTTCATGAAAGAAATTTGAAACTTCATTTTCCCATCACTAATAAGTAAAAGTGTTTCTCAGGTTGGTCAATTTCAACAAATATTTTTTTTAATGGTAGCATAGATGTTTATAATACTGTAAACACAGAATTTCGACTGAGTAAGCAAATTTCTGAGCAAATCTGGGCAAAATCATCATTATTTCAGTGTACGTACTTTTTGTCACATTTTTGTTTGGTGGTGTGCTGTGCTTTCTTAATAAGTGTCTTGGTTCAATAAAAATTGAGAAACACAGAGTGAGGAAGAATGGTGCATACAATAGTGCTGTGGGCTAATTAAGCAGTCAAATCTAAACAGAAACAGACAGTTCAGACGCCTTAATCTGGGATTAGACAAGTGGGCAGGTTCTAGCTCCAGTGCTATTTGAGAGTTAACACACTAAATACTGATGTGTCCTTAACCTGATTCCCAAGTAACAACTGCCTTTGATTTATAATATATATATATATATATATATATATATATATAGCTATTATTCATTCCGTTATTCCGTCATGTCAATAAAGCACACAAAGTGTCTGTGTTTCAATCTTTCAAACAGCTCTCGCTCTAGAGTAAGGACAACCAATAGTGATTATTATTTGCTTGTGATTGTGATTATTATAATCCCAGCACACAAAACTTAATTTGACTGACTTAAATTCTGAATAGCTGAGAGGATGTGACGAGGAAGTATCTTGTGTTATCTTATTATGTTGTTTTTCTGTCTATGCCAGCGGCATATCGTGGCAGGCGACCTGTTGCCTGACAGAATGTCATGGCTCCCTGAAAATATATCAGCTTTGTGTTCAACCATACAAGGCTAGATTTCTCACTCAGTAAAGTTGTGATTAAATTAAGGCAAGATCATTATTCCAGCATGCATACCTTTTATTTATTACCGGTTGTTATTTTTGATGTTTTTATCGTTACAGTTAAACAGTGTGTGATGGTTTTCAAAAAATGTTCCACCCCTACTATCCCTGTAACCCAGTCCAACAAGGTATTTAATTCATACATCTCCCCAGGAGTTTGTTCACCTTCCAGTTGAGTCGAAGCACCTGTGGCTAAAGCCAAACTGGAGTTTTACTTTGTGGATCTGACACTTCTGAATTTATAAAGTCGATTCTGGCAGACTGCAAAATATCTCTGATGACACAGCTTGTTTTCAGCTGGTCTGTCAGGTGCTTTCATTCATCCACAGAGTTCTATTTGAAAGAATAGTCCATGTGTTGTTGCTGGCACTTCCAACTCAGGAAATGTCTGTATGGGAGAGGTGGGAAATAAGTGGAGCAAGAACAAGGAAGAGAGTATAACAGCTTTAAGACAGATCAGATTCGCCCTGAGACTGGGCTGGTGACTGCTGCAACACAAAACTGGATAAAACTGAATTTGCAAATAACCCATTGATCGGCCAACCAAGATCTCGGCTTTATCCCATTTTGACATCCGGGCAGGAGTGGACTTTTCCCTTCGTGATGTATTCAAGAGAAGCATCATGCCTGTTCTCAAGCCCTGGGACAGATCTGCATTGCTTTTAAATGGGTGGCTAATCCACAGCTTGAATCCTGTGCCACCCTCCCAGTGTGTAGGTTGTTGGTCAACAATGGAACGCTAAAAAGGGTAAGGGGGGCGGGGTGAGCGAAAGGAACCGTCCCAGCAATTCTCAAGTTGCCAAGAATGTGAAACGCTCCCCAAGGAAATTCCTCCTCCTCAAGGAAAGCAGAGGAAGGAAACCAAGTGGATTTTGACACATTTCAGGCTATGGGAGTGAGTGTGAAAAAGGGGAGAGTGAGGGTAGTGACTTGTCCAAGCTAAAAGAGCTTGTGCACACCATAGCAAAGCAAAAAGTCCAGTTGATTTCAACATCAGGATTTTCAGGACGACAAGTTGATTGGCCCTCCGAGTGGATAAAATTCAGAATACCACTGTATTTGCATCTATCTAGGGGCCACCAATATAAATTCCTCACCTACCAAATTGGAGTGGTTGCGATACAGTGATGTGGTCCAACTGCCATTTGTGTCTGTATCACAACTCGAAAATGCTACTCGGCATGGCTGATGGGGGTGTTTATGGTTTAGGAAGCAGCGGATTACACTGTCAGTGTCTCTATGCACCATTTGATGACAATTGGTTCTTTTCCGGTTATGAAATTACATTACTGCAGCAACCCCGCACTAAAAAAGACATTTGACAACACTCAGGAGGATGCAGTGTGCGAATTGACAAAATAAGCTTATGGCATTTTAGAGGTAGCACTCTTTCAGTGGCAAGTCAATGTCATTGTTTGCTTGACGAGGGATGGAGCCATGTGGTATTACAATGGATTTTAAACTAGATTTAATATTTACTCATCGATAGGGACTGTTCTTGAATCATAAGTAGCTCTTGACATGCATTATTATAATTATTCTTTTTATAACAGGACTAGCGGTGTCTGTCTGGCACGACATCAGTACAAACCAGTGTTACCGTGCCTGCCTAGATTGTTAACATCAATAAACAACCTTTTGATAGACGAAACATGAATTGGGGCAGGAGGAATTATGTGACAAGCATATTTATTAATGGCAAAGTTAAGGCTTGTTCAAGTACTTTGTAGATGACAGAAAGGTTGTCTTGGGACAAAGAATGAAGGGTGCTCTGGTACCCAAAGTTAAAGTCAGAGGAAAATAGAAAGGATTTTGTTGTGGCCTGCGTTGCAAGCTTTCCTTGAAGATGCCACACCAAACCATGATGTTGCATTTTTTTCGAGAGGTGACATAATTTTTTCTTTCCTAATTTAGCATTCTTGACTACAATTATGACACTCTTGGCACCTAGTCATTGCGATTGCAAATACCTGTACATTCTTTTAAAATTTGTATTCTTTAGAACCTCGAAAGTCATGCAACGACTTTATATAATTGTATTTTCTATTATCAAGAAGCGTTTTCAAGCACTTGGACATCTGGGGACTATTTCACTCCCTAACGGCAATGAAACTGTGCAATCTAATAGAGTCAAACAGCAATAGGTTTATACACCGACATACAGTAAGTAAAAAAGGGCAGTCTCATCTGCCACCAAAATGTTATATTCCAACATTGTCATTCACATTACTTCCAGTGGGTATTCCTTTTGTCACAATGTTCTATTCAAGACAGACTGCTATTGCTGGTCAAACTTTTATAATTTATGATGACGTTTTAAACTCTGAAGTTTTGGGAGGTTTTTTTTTCCCCCCAAAACGCTGAGTGAATTTTGACTTGTATATGTTCCATTGTATTGATAAATTGTTGAAATAAAGGGCGTTTGAACATGGACTCAAGAGTGGATCAACATATTTTAACTCACCGTTTGTAAAATCAATGTATTCAATGAGTGCTGCTTTGAATGTGTGATCACTTCCAAAACTCGTCTTGCCACTGTAAGATGCAGTTTTTTTTTCCCACATTGGAGATTCAATACTGTAGAATAAAACCTGTAATTGTTCCAAAGCAAAGAGTGTACAAGAAAAAAGAAACATGACAGAAATTAATCTCATTAATTTTAATGAACAACATTTCACCCTTATCCATCCTTGGTTGCTCAGCAACACCAAACAGTCAGCTCCACAGTCAGCTATTTGTTAAGTAAAAAAAAAAAAAAAAAAAAAAAAAAAAATCGTGAACACGCTGGGCAGCCTCACACTAAGCTCCCGCCCTACCTTGACCACAGAGCTTTTGTGTTGCATTGTTACAAAGTATAAATGGAAAAACAGAGTAGCCATCTAATTAAAAATACCCAACAGCAGTTGTACAACATTGTAACAGAAGTAGTTCGGATGAAGTGCAGGAATAAAAAATAAAAATCATCTTCAGAAAATAGAACCGTCACAGCAAAAGATCAACAAAAACATAAAACAGGCACGGGTTACTGCACGCATTTGTCGACACTGTTCCAAAATTTGGGAAGACAGTTTCGCGAAACCTGCGTTGAATGAGCTGCTCTTTCGCAGCTCCAACAACAACACAATTGAAGTTTTCCTCCATTTCTAGGTATGTGCTATGTGCCACACTCGTCATTTCTGTCCAACGTGTGCGTGGATCATCACACACGTCTGTGTATTTACAAACCGCAGCAGACGAAAAAAAAAAGTATGTCCACTTTTAAGATATCCTTTATTTGTTCCACAATGGGGAAATTTACAGTCCACAGCACCAAGATAATGGGGAGAAAGAAGAAAGAAGTTGTTCCGGAGCAAAAAAGATCGCTCATACAGTACTTGAAAACCCTTCAGAGTTGCTGAATCTAAGCAATTCTGCAAAGAATAAATCAAAAAATCTCCACAGTGATCTGACAGTTGACTTCGGTTCTTGTTGCTAATGGTGGCCCAAACAGGGCCTGAATATTTTTCCCCCTTAATTTATGAAATCACTACTTAAAAACTGTGTTTTATATGCACTTGGGGTATCTTTGTGTGAAATTAACACGTTTATGGTTCTTAAACATTAAAGTGAGGAAACAAAAAAGTACTTGATAAGAGGACAAATACTTTTTGACGGCATTTAAAGTGATTATTTTCTCTTTGTATGTAAAACAGTTAAGATTACTCAACTCTTCTTAAATAATCCTACAGTTAAAGTTTTTTACGATTGCAGTATGACAAGTTGAGACTGAAACAAATGAACAATTTCCAATGGGCAAAAATAGTTTTGAAATGAGGACAACTTGGAAGTCGAGGGACGCTTGATTGCATTCGACTTGGAAGTGTATGAAAAAATGATCTGCATAATGAACAAAACTACATTTTGCCACACTCGATGCTATACTCCACATTTGTGCAGAACTTCAAATATGCCAGTAATAACTGTTCAATGGTTTTCTTTGAAATGTTAATCAAGAAACACAGACAATGACATCTTTCTGAAATAACAGAATTTCTGAACTGAAATAAAGATGCTCATATATTCTTAATCTGCCTTTGTTTACATCATCTGAGCTAACGTGGGTGCTGAACAATGCTCATGTGAAACTATGCAGTAAATGTTGTTCACATGTGACTCCATTCACACTTGCTTGCATACTCATGCAGGCAGCAGGCAAACACACGCATGCACGCACGCACATCCAGAGTGGAGGAAGCCCTCCCCTTGCAAGCCCACTTTCCCCCCAGTGAGTAGAACAGATCTAGGTCAAAGCTGATTAATGTACCCTCAGCTCCCGAGAGAGGCTTCTGGTCAGGTGGCAGCAGTGTGCCTGCTCACCGACGATGCATACTAATGCACACACAAGTCTGATCGAAAATAAATCGTATCGTGAAGCTGGCATTATGACAAAAGTGCGTATCACTCAGAGGAACATTAAACATTTCTAGTGTTAGAGGCCGTGTGAACACACAGAGTATGCTTTAACGGTTGCACTTGACGAGTTAAGGCATCAGAGCATGAATAGGCGTCAACTTCGAGAACCAAGTCACACACAGATCCGATTTGTTGACAAGGTTCACAGCACAGTGCCGCGACAAAATGTCAATAATGTGCTACTAATTGGACTAACGGCACCCGTATCATCGAGGATATGGAATGCTACCGTCAATAAATCCACACATGGATTTAAATGTGATTAAACCTTTGAACGTCAATGGAGATTTGCAGCCTTGTGTACATCTGACGATTTGCTGCAACAGCCGTTGGAGAAATTAGTTTGGTACAACTTTGCTAGCTATTTATTACCACAACAGTCGGAAACCACCCCCAAAAAAGCAAGCAACTGTCATTATGATTATGACAAACACGAATGCCACCGATTCTGCGACTGTGGCGCTCGGCAGCATGCGCCGTTACTAGGATAGGAAGCGATTGTTAGACATCTACTGTTAACTCTTAACACCATTAATGTATGCTTGTAGCTTTAGCATTAGCCAGCTCGCTAGTTAGCCTCACAGTTAGCCAACCCAACAGTAAACCAGAAATGCATGGCAGCTCGTTCGCATTGCTTCACGTTAGTCACCGAGGGCGTTGTTTATCCAACGATAGCATCATCACAGACCACAAGACAAAATATAACATATTCACGCGATGCCAATATTGTCAACATTACCTTGGGACGCAGTTCGGGGATGATCGGTCTATCTCCCAGGTTGCAAAGAGGTTCATCGGGACAGGCATGCCGCCGGAGCCCGAGCTCGAACCCAGCACAACAGCCCCGGCCAGGGCTCCGGCAGGGAGCGTCGAGGGCGCAGGTATACAACCGGCACTGCTGTTCGGGCTCAGGAAAGCGGCCCGGGAGCCTCCTCTCTCAACAGCCGCCGCCATCATCACCTCCACTGCCGACGGAGCAACACGAGCTGAGGGTCGGACGTATGCGGGAGCCTGTGAAGTGTGCGCTGCCCAGCCAGCTCCTCCAGACTCCCGACTAACCGAGCCCTCCACCGCTTGTGGTCGAGACGCTAATAGTCGGGGCCGGGCGGGGCGGGGCGGGGCATGCCAGCACAGGCGGGAGGGGGCAGCCCCTTCTTGCCTTGGGAATGTGTAAAATTATCCACATCAAAACAATCATTTGTTCGTTTTATATGCAAAACCACGAAGGCCATTTTAAAGACAGAACACTTGCAGATAAAGACGGTAAGCAAGTTGAGTGGAGAAAAATACACCACATTCTTCAAAACAAGCATGTTGAATTATTTGAATTGACTGGAAAAGGTTGTTTGTTTACATCCCTCTCTCCTGGTGACTGGTGACTGTAGTCCAGGGTCTAAGTGGGTTTGAATAGGCTCCAGCTCACCTGAAACTCTGATGAGGATAAGCGGTATAGAGACAGTGGATGGTTGGATAGACTTTTAGAATGCAGTACACAGACCTAACACAGCACAACGCGAAACAAGAGCTGTGCTACCATAAGGCCCACAGTTTGATAAAGAAGACAGTCTGCTGTGTGTTTATTATAGTCTTTTAAAACACATTTTAATTATGAACATAGTATGCATACCAGCAAAATAAATCTCAAGTTATTTCTAGTAGCAATGTGACAAAACTAGAAATATTAAGGTTTCGGGTCAAATTTCAGGATGAACCTAAAATGCTGTATAACCTTTACAGGTCAACTTAATTTGACCTTCTCAAAATAATTGAATGCACATGGCCACCTGTTAAATCTTTTTGCAAGGAACCAACCAAGGTACTGAAAGAGCAAAATCAACAGCAATGTGTTTTGATCTGCGTACGAATCAACCAATACATTTCCTTTCTTTAATTACAAATGATATTTAAACAGGCATTCAGAAGCAAAGCGGAGAAAGCAAAAGTAGCCTCCAAAATTATTAGAATGTACAGTGACGTCATTAAAACACATTAACAAAAGATTTTAACATTTAAAAGTAAAATGAAGAAATAAAAGTAGTTTTCGAAAACCACTAATCAAATAAATGATTGATTAAAATTGTTGAGAGGACCCTAATCTTTAGCAGTTTTTAACCTGGATTTTAAAGGGGAAAATTTTTTTATTAGTTTTTAACCTGAATTTTAAAGCATTTACACTCAGGGGTAACTGGAAATTTAAGACCCCTATAATTACAAAGCAAAATTTACAAGGACCATTTTAAGTGAGCAAAGATGAACATCCAAAGGTTCTTGGTCAGCAACCAAAAATGAAATAAATGCAATTCTTGTCACATTAAAAATGTTCACTTAAGACTTATGAAAGCTGCTCTAAGCAGGTAAGTGGTGTGCTAAAACGTCAGTATTTTTAAAGAACATTTAGAGCCTGCATGTGATATGCCAAAAAGCTAATTTTCTTTTAGTTGGAGGTAAGAATTTTGCACTCAAAACGCATTTGTTTTGTCTCGACCCAACTCCTAACTCAAGTGCATTGTCTCACAGAGTCAAGCAGTGAACTGCCAAGACTTGTTTTTCATTAGGTGTTGTGAAACTCAAATTCTGACAAGCGTGAAACTTCAGTCGACTTGACATGACTTGTTGTCGAGGGCTGTGTTTGTGAACATGTCAGCCCGTTTGTAACACCTAAGTGGAAGAAAAAAAATCATATTGCTATCAGTTAGTGTCGACATTATCCATGAACATGACTATGAGGATAAATGGTTTTATTCATACGTACCCCTGTGATTGGTTGAAAATTAGTCGACGTGTACCCCACTGTTCACCAAGAATCAGATGGGATAGGCTTCAGCTCACCTATGACCCTAGGACAAGAGTAAAATGTGATGGATTGTGGTTGTAGTTTGCAGTGATATATGCATACAGATGTGTTTCATATATTTTAATCTTAATATTGGCCAATCAAAGCTGAGATTTATTGTATTTGTAAAGGCATGATTTTTGATACATTGTACTCAATCTCATTACATTGTGCAGAAGCACCTCATACAAAATGTGGAGCTGCATAAAAATAAGCTTATATAATAAGGTGACCTAGATATTAATGCTTAAGAGCCAGCTATGTTGCCCTATCACTGAGGCCAGATTACAAAAGGAACCACCTGCCTTTCTGAGTTATTATTAGATACAAATGTATGTAGACCATAATGGATGACATTCTTCAATAAATACGTGAAGTGCATTGCCACCAAGTGTTTAAATATAGCATTGCGTCAGAAACGTATCCTTTGCAACTTTTTCCATTACTGCCCAATAGATGGCACACTGGATTCATTTGTAGTTGATGCTTAAAACGGCAGCCCCACGTCACGTCTTAAATCCCCCCCGAGTGAACCCCCTAAAATACCAGGCCAGATGCAGACATAGTGACGCGATGACGTCAGTGATGTTTCCAAATCACACGTTAGAGAGAGAGACGTATAACACGTAGTTAGTGGTAGTTTTACAAAATCAAATACATTACAGTACTGTTAGTCTAATCAATACTGCCCCCCCCCCCTCAAAAAAAAAAATACTTGAAAAACATTCCAGAATAAAGGCATAGATTGCATTTATGCCGTTGATTGACAACTTTAAAGCCACCTGGTCTGTGCTGAACGTGTAAAGCTTGTCAGAGAACAGTGGAAATTATTCTATTAAAAATTCCCCCCCCCCCTCCACAAAAAATAGAATACTTGAAAAACATTCCAGAATAAAGGCATAGATTGCATTTATGCCGTTGATTGACAACTTTAAAGCCACCTGGTCTGTGCTGAACGTGTAAAGCTTGTCAGAGAACAGTGGAAAGTTATAACAGAGGAGCAGCCCTAAACTTTCAAAGGGACTCAAGCTTGCACATTTGGAAACCAGCCAGCATTCTCTGGGAAACATGTCTTCACTTTTCCGTTGAGACATGAAACGTTATCATATGTGTAACTGAGAAAACAGCATCATACAAGACTGAAGCTTAGTGAACATATATATGTTTGCTTTTTCTTTTTTTGTGTGTGTATTTATGTGAGGACACCACAGAAGGGACAGCCTGGTATAGCTATTTGATGTGAAATGTGTGACTTTTCTTTGTGTGTTTGTACAACCATTCTCTATGTTTGCTTCTGAAGAGGACACAATGAAACCTCATCAGCAGCATCTTATTGCCCCTTTCTTTCACACTGGTAAAGTCACTGGACTGAGGAGCTAGTTACTGTACCAGCAAAACGATACAAATGAAATGGTCAACTCGTCCCAAGGTTCGGAGTTTAGGACACTGACCAAAAGATAACATTGGCCAAATGGTTATTTGCATCCCAATCCGGACTGCTCGGTTGAAGGTACTGTATATGGCTTGTTCCTGGGTGACCTTGTTTCCGTGCTGGGTGGTGTTTGTGGCAGGTTTCCTGAGAGCTCGAACATTCAACTCCAGTTTCTATTTGGAATTTGTTACAAATAGTTACAAAGGTAGATGGGATCCCCACTTATTATTTTCCACAGGTCCACATTGCTCATTTTGTCTTTCCACCAGATGTTTAATATCCTTCTGCAGCAGGTGTTGAACATTTGCAGCAGCTTTCTGTTATTTGTTTTGTTGTTTTCCATTTTTCGGAATATCACCTGTCTTATGTTGGAGTTGAAAATGTGTATCAAAGGCCAGATGCACACATGAAGACAATTAGGTTGTTTTTGCCTGATGTTCATCCATCCATTGTCAGAACTGCTTATCCTCCCTCACTCGGGGCACGGGACTGTTGGAGGCTATTCTAGCTGTCTTCGGGCAGTAGGCGGCCTATCCGATGTCGTTGTTTGTATAACCGCGGGTTGCCCGGATTGTACGAAATATTTTCCAAAGCAAATATTTCCTTGCTGACATTGCCACCGTCTCCGGTCCTCTTCGGAAACACTCGACAACTCGGCATACCAGCAAGAGCCTGGTCGTCTTCATGTGATCATTCGAGAGCTCTGACTTGGAAGACTGGATTCTTGACCGGTGGTGGGAGAGAATCTTTGTGTGTGGAGCCGTGCTGAGATTATCTGAGCACCACAGACACAATATGACCAAAGCTGTTTATCACCCATTTTTTTTATCTTGATGTCTGAGTGTCTGCCAAAGACAAAAAAAATCATTTAAGAATCGAAAAATCATTATGTGTGTGCCCAGCCTAAATGGCTGCGAAATCTTTTGACCTGATCTTTCTGAGCATTTCAAACACCACTCCAGTTTGTTATTCTACTTCTGCTATCAGCATCTGTCCCTCCAGTGATGTCAACAGCACACCTACGTAGGTACAGGAAAGGCTTCTACTTTATTTAGTGCAGTGCTATTCATGAGCAGGGAGATGCTGATTTTGGAGTGACGATTGAACACTTGTGTTTCTGTTGTATTTGGGAGTGAGAACGTTATTTTGGGCGGAGGGCAGTTTGTTAACATCTGCCTTCTCTTGTATTTGTGTCTTGTGTATGTGAGAATTGTGAATGTGTGGTTTGCACCATCTTTTTCATTACCAGAACAGACAATGGACTGGCCACTCGTCAAAGGAACCTCCCTTGACTGTGTCCATTTTGTTTCCAGAGCAGCCTGATTGTAGTGCTCCATTTCCCTCACAGCTATGTGCATTGTTCAGATGCAAGCATGTAAATAACAGTGACTTCAGACAAGTCCAAATTGTCCACGTTTTATCTCCATGATTTGCATTTCTTCATTAAAAGTAAACGTCTTTAGGTCAAAATTGGATTGAGTCTGCTTACGTCAAAGGGAAAAGACGAGTGCATTTCCCCATAACAGTATATGTGTGTCCTCGCTTTGCTTGTTATTTTTACACAATATTAACCCATTTAAAGAGGTGATAATAGCTTGAGAGCAAATCAACATACAGATGCTCTTGAATTATCAAAATGTCTGAGAAACGAATTTGGTATCCTGTTCTTTCAATTATCTCACACCAAGGCATGCACATGTATTGATGATGGAGATGAATAGGGGGAGTTCGAAAATCGGTTAGTTGTTTACCGGTTGCTTGAAAACAAATTGATATTGTAGAAAATAAATGACTGTCATTTTCCTGAGCAAAAAAAAAAAAAAAAGGTAACGTGAACTTGTTAGAAGAAAATGGCCCATTTTGATGCCATAGGTCCTTCAATAAAAGTGTCCTATAATCTGATGGACAGGAGGTTCTGAAATCCGCTATAAGTGTCTGCTTTCTCAAATTCTCACATTCTCCATGGACGTTTTTCAAGATGCATGTGTGAAACAAATTCCTTTTTGAAACAAACCGTCAGATTAATGAACTGGCCTCTGAAGAGCGAAGCAGAGCTCTTGCAGAAGACAATGAATATATTTGGATTGAAGTTGAACAATGGTTGCAGAGTGTCGACTTGAGGTGGTACCTCGGGGTTTGCCTTAAGGGCAATCCATTCAACAAATGCATCGGCTAAAGTAGCAAATTTTTAACTTGTACTTTAATTTGAGTTGTTTGCCAAACTCATGCATAGTGCCGAAATGGATCAACTACAATCAAAATATATCATCCACAAAGTGAAAAGGATGCCTGATTTAACTGATGCTGATGGTTGACTCTCTAATGTGATGAAGAAAAACATTGAACTTTGAAAGTTGATCTGCAACAAGGTAACACTGCTTAAACACACATCAAGGTATAAATGGGGTTGGTCACTTAGGACAAAATTACTGTTATATTTGTCATGATACACACACACACACACACACACACACACACACACACACACACACACACACACACACACACACACACATACATTGACCAAGCTCCCGTCAATCAATGTGATCCGTCTCTGGAGAGCAGTCAGGAACAACTTAAACATCTCTATTTGCAATCAGCAGATTAGCACATGACCTGATACAGGGGTGCAAATCAATCGAATTCTTTAAAAAGAATCTTGGATGTCTTTGATGACAAATCGTGCTCCAAGGCACTAGCTGTCTACAGTAGATTTTGACTTTGTACTGGACTTTGCCAAATGGTCCTCTCCTTTGGCGCCATAAGTGTAAGATTTTGGATACAAAAAATATTGCATTACCTGCTGGGAATTGATTTGATTGAATGCTCTGGTAATTTTGTTGTTCTTCTTTTAGGTTTACCTGCGGAGCCAATTTTCAGTCTGAGCAGCCCTGCTTCGCACATACCCTTGTGTCTGAAAAAAAACAACAAAAAACTATGTCATCACCTCAGTGACTTCAACTTGTACAGTTCTTGTTTTTTCGAAATTGACTGTTTGTCCATTTAATCTAAGTCTTACTGGATTTGCTTCCACCTTGTGCACAGTGTGTCCTTTTGCTTCCTATTTATGGAATCGCTTGTTATGCAGACTGCATTAGCATTTGGAGCAGAACAAAACAACTTCTTTGTTTCCTCTCCCCACCCATCTAGATTTGCCCCCAACAGCAGTATACAAAGGAAACAGAAATGGCATAGATACATTATAATGTCAAGAGATAGTCAGGGGTGAAAAGAAAGTGCTTGATGGAATCCTGTGATTACACTGTATGCAAATCATCATGTGCACACTCCAAATCTCATCTTGATCTCACAGTACTTGAACCATGCATAAAACACATTCATAATTTTCCATTCAGTGAGTATACCAGTGAAGCTTCCATGCTCGCCGAAGAAGCCAATTCCACAGACATTCACTGTGTTTCACTCTAGGCAATACAGCCTGGAGAGACAAGGGAGATAGAGCTATATAATCCATATGCATGAATGTCAGCCGCAGAGACAAGACAAATATGCTCACAGCATCTTCTCTCAAGATTGACCTGGTCGGACCGCACAGTTACAAAGGACAAATCTGGACACCAGCCAGCATTAGGAGAAATGTCCACTGCGATTAAAATGCCCATTAAGGTCGAAATGTATCTGCCGGTTTGCTTTCTCTCTGGGTTGAGAACCTTTGTTGAAAGGAATCATTTTGCATTTAGATTTCCCAGGACAAGAACAGGGCCTTGTTGGCAAATGTTTCTTATGGATGAGGTGCTTCTTTTGTGGCACATGTTTAGCTGATGACCAAACACACATTTTTGTCATACCCAGCAGTAAGGAACTTTTTTAAAAAAATGTTTTTACCCCCAGTGTTTGTCTCGCTTTCATTCATGAAAAATGCCAGTTAGCATACAAGCCAAGCAAATAAATGGAAATGTTTAATGCACAAAGTTCCATAAAATTTCATCTTACATTAAACAGACTTAAAGCAACACTAGAGATGGTTTATCAATATTTTAGAGTGGTGGAGAAGAAAATGTAGTGTCTGTGTATTACATCCTCTTTAATGCAAATGTACCAAACGTAAGTGAACCAATCTGAAGCTATTTCTATGGTCGTCTTATATCTTTGATAATTTCGCCTCGCTCAAGTCAGTGTCCATGCGCATTTCGTCGAGATGCTCTCTTATGACTCTCATTCCGTTTTTGGCTCTTGCCTTTGCTTATGCTCTTCGTTTTTCAAGTAAGTAGTTCTTAGTGTGTTCAAGTGTATCGATGG